GATATGGGGGAAGGGGTAACACTTTGGACATTGTGATATGGGGGAAGGGGGTAACACTTTGGACATTGCGATATGGGGGAAGGCAGTAACACTTTGGACATTGTGATATGGGGGAAGGGGGTTACACTTTGGACATTGTGATATGGGGGAAGGGGGTTACACTTTGGACATTGTGATATGGGGGAAGGGGGTTACACTTTGGACATTGTGATATGGGGGAAGGGGGTTACACTTTGGACATTGTGATATGGGGGAAGGGGGTTACACTTTGGACATTGTGATATGGGGGAAGGGGGTTACACTTTGGACATTGTGATATGGGGGAAGGGGGTAACACTTTGGACATTGTGATATGGGGGAAGGGGGTAACACTTTGGACATTGTGATATGGGGGAAGGGGGTAACACTTTGGACATTGTGATATGGGGGAAGGGGGTAACACTTTGGACATTGTGATATGGGGGAAGGGGGTAACACTTTGGACATTGTGATATGGGGGAAGGGGGTAACACTTTGGACATTGTGATATGGGGGAAGGGGGTAACACTTTGGACATTGTGATATGGGGGAAGGGGGTAACACTTTGGACATTGTGATATGGGGGAAGGGGGTAACACTTTGGACATTGTGATATGGGGGAAGGGGGTAACACTTTGGACATTGTGATATGGGGGAAGGGGGTAACACTTTGGACATTGTGATATGGGGGAAGGGGGTAACACTTTGGACATTGTGATATGGGGGAAGGGGGTAACACTTTGGACATTGTGATATGGGGGAAGGGGGTAACACTTTGGACATTGTGATATGGGGGAAGGGGGTAACACTTTGGACATTGTGATATGGGGGAAGGGGGTAACACTTTTGACATTGTGATATGGGGGAAGGGGGTAACACTTTGGACATTGTGATATGGGGGAAGGGGGTAACACTTTTGACATTGTGATATGGGGGAAGGGGGTAACACTTTGGACATTGTGATATGGGGGAAGGGGGTAACACTTTGGACATTGTGATACGGAGGAAGGGGGTAACACTTTGGATATTGTGATATGGGGGAAGAGGGTAACACTTTGGACATTGTGATATGGGGGAAGGGGGTAACACTTTTGACATTGTGATATGGAGGAAGGGGGTAACACTTTGGACATTGTGATATGGGGGAAGGGGGATACAATTTTGAAATATCAACTCGTTCAGTTACATGTGTGTTTTCTATTTTCTGTTAATTATTTATGGCTGATATTTGCATATGTTTTAAAGTATGCTTTACAAGCTAAACCTATAATTCTCTTCATATATTATCATATTTTGTAATATTGTCAGTACATGTTTTGGTAACTGTAAAACAGGACCCGATATACATGGATGTGCTTTATCTTAAGTTGAGATAGGAACATATATACACCTGTTATTAACGACAGGTAGGACTCCCACATTGCTAAGTACTATATAACTATTTCGTGACCTCATTTAAGAATTAGGGCAAAGTTTAGAATATAAGTAGAGAAGTATTAAATGTTTCATATTCTAAAACAGCACAGTAGATACCAAAACCAATACCCTCTGTGGTAGATTTAAAATGAGCAATAGTATACTGGAACCAACGATAACCTGTCTTTGGTGACAGTTAAACAACAGGTGAATCGCCCACATACAGGTAGTTTATATGAAGCAGAAGTAGGGCTGATTTCAGGAAGGAATGGCTGATAAAGGACTGAAAAATGGATAAGGATTGAATTAAATATGATAATCATTCAACTGAATCAACTTGTGTCTGTTAACCTAATGAAGTGAAGTGGGGAGTGGGTTTAGGTGGTATGTGGTGGTGGTGGTATGTAGGTGGTAGTACTGACGTGAGATTACAGTTAGTTTGTGTGGCGATATTTACCATAAACAGTGACAGTTTGGTTCTTACCTAAAACACAGGTAAAATAATATAGACAGTTTTACAGAAGCTTTTACTCTAGAGAAACATGGATGTGTATTAATTGGCGAGATTAATAACAATAGAGAAACAAGGATATAAATTGTCTGATCCCTATACCATGTGGTTGGTTAACTATAGAAAATCAAAGATATCAGTTTGCCCAATAAACCCATTGCATGGAGTTGCCCTACCCTACCGCAACCAGCAACAACATTGCTTTAGCACATATGTTGCCTTACTCTCCAAATAAGCCCATTGGTTGCCTTATCCACAAGAAACAGCATAACAGATATGGATTAAAGGGACATCACGTGAAAAGGCGTTTTTTTTTTTAATGAATGTATGTATTGTATGTACTTCCACTTATGTTACCTCGCTATCCCCATATTCATAGTCCGTTCCAAATGTCCAGTTTGACCACTTGAATTGTTCGGGAAAGCCCTGCTAAAAATAGCGCCGATAACGTCACCTGACTAGGCAGTAAACACAAGTTGTGCGAGCGAGATGAAACGGTTTCCAAAGGGCCCCCAGAGAGGGGCCGTTAGGCAACTGCAACTTCTTACCGCACTATGAAACCAAGTTATATGATTTCTAAATCCGTATTCAAACTTATTGAACAGTAATTATTCATCATTAGAAGTTAATTGCACACTTGCCAATGTTCAGAATATAAATTTATTTAGCTTTAAACATAAATTTATTGCCAATAAATTTAAACAAGGGATGGGGCACAGGTTTTTACAATTTATCACAGCCTTCTCCCGTCATACATTTACAATTAAATGTCAACAATGATAATAGGCATAAACATAAAGTAGATATATTTAAATATATATTGAATTTAGTACCGGAATGTGGCCGGTACAGATGGTACGGGGCTAAACACCTTCCCT